TAAGGTTTGAGAGGTTTATAAGGCTGCAGTTACAGGTGGAAGGGGTTTTGGACGTTAGGACAAAAAAGTTTGACGGCTGTAGAGATTTTGGGTTGCACTTGGTTGCAAATGCTGCGAGTCGACCGCCTCGGCCCTAAACAATGCTGGAAGGTTTGAAATATCAGGGATTTCGGTGGGCCGGAGTCGAGACTTTACACAGTTCTTTCTTCTTCTTCTTCTTATTATTATTATTATTATTATTTTTTTTTTTGGGGGGGGGGGGGGGGGGGGGTCAGGGTTTTAGGGTCCTTGTGGGGTCGTTGTGGGAAAATTGGGGGCCCAAAAGTAGGCCGCATGTTAGGGGCTTACTTGGGCATCCCTGGAAAGGTCTTTTGAACCGTAGAGGCGCTTGAAGAACGAGGACACATACCCTTGAATCTAGCTGAAATGACCAGACTTCTTGTTTGTTGAAGTTTGCGGTGCCGACATGAACCGAGATAGACCCTTGAAGCTTTCTATCTTTTGGCAACTAGACTAGACATGTCATCGTCACCTTAGGCGTTCTAACAATTTCATCTCAGCAGATTACAGAACACCAGGTTCTCGGATACTCAGCTGCTAGTTCACGTCGCCGTAGGTACTTCGTGTTTGTTACAGCATTCTCTTGTCTTATTTCTAGCTTCGCTGAGGCACAATGAGCTGAGTTCGCGAAGTCGCTAGCCCTGGATCTGAAGTTCCGACGCCCCTACGCACGTCCCGAAGCCCTCGCCCTCAACCCGAAACCCCAAAAACTCCCACGGAAGAATGAAGTTCATCCTGAGCCTGCCTTCTGATGCAAGGCCTTCTGCGCAGCCGTGACAGGGATGGCGCCTTCGCTGAACTTCTTGGGTTCAGGGTGGTGATTATAAAGGGTCCCCGTCTTTCAGATTGGGCACCCCCAAAGAAGCCAGAATTTGGAGCAACTGAGCAACTCCCCCCCCCCTCCCCCCGAACTTGCGGGGGCCTTTTTTTGGGAGCTGCTCCTTGAGACGAACAAGTCCCAAGAATCCAACCCACCTGAATCCCAAGGTGCCCATCTTACTCCTGGCACTGCTGCTCTACTCCGACACCTCCGAAGGATCCAGCAGAGGGGCGTTGGGGTGGGCTTGGGGTCTTTGAGGAGCCCGCCCCCCCTAAATTCTGGCCCCGTGAGCCCTAAAAATTTCTCGGCGGGCGGTTCTTCTCCATCGGCTGCAGTGATCGCCGGATGCGCAGGAGTCTGAATCAAACATAAGAGGGGGGAATTGGCTAACATAGGGGCTTTGGATTCAGGGTTCAGGGCTACACCCCTGCAAAGTAGTTGCAGTCCCTCGAGTCCAGAGTGGAGGACCGGCTCCAGTCGCAGTGCCGATTGCGGCCCAAAACCTTGATGCAACTGCAGCAGGCAAGAGTCGTGAACTCTGGACCCCCTAAGCCCTAGACCCGGAACCCTAATCTTAAGTCCAAAATCTTGCAGGACTCTAAGATTGGGTTTCCAGGGCTCGTGCATTGTTGCGCGTCAGGTCGAGGGTACTTAACAGCAAAAGCAAGTCGGAGCCAATAGTGTGAGCATGAGACAACAAGTTCTGAAGAATCATGAAGAATGAGTTGGAACAGTAAAAACAAGTAGATGCGACCCGCTCACAGCCGGTTTTTTTGCAAGGAGGGTGACCAAGATGAAGCATACTACAAGCTGATCGGACTTGCAAGCCTTTCAAGCTTCCAAGACAGGATCACCAGGCTCATTGTGATTTCACGAAGCTTATGCTTGATGCTCTCGCATTTTGGAAGTTATAGGATGATCACGAAGCTTGTGGGAGCTTCTCAACCCGGCGCCAGAGGCTTCGCTGGCACAGCGCAGCTATCTGAGCTGCGCCTTTCGGTGGAGACATTGCGACAGGCGCTCTGGGGCAAGGTGGAAGGGTCTAAGTGAAAGTTCCACAGACATGGCACTATGAGACAGAGGCGTGGCCTTTTCCATGTTTAGCCAGTGCCCGATCAGTGTGCTATGATATTAGGTCTCAATTGCAGTGGGGGTTTTATGCTGCAGGAAGTGCGACGACAGGACCATCTGCACCCAGGGTGACGTACATATCAAGGCATACAGTGGATGCGTCTTTGAAAATGTGGCGAGCACCTGCGTGCCACACAAAGGGATCAAGGCACCAAAAGACTTCGACTTGGCGGAATGGCTGTTTGCTGCCTTTGGCTCGGCGACCAAAGTTGGATCCCCCACGCTTACATAGACAAACTTCTGCAGCACGAGAAGCCGCAAAGAAGTCCCTGGCCCCTTAGCATCCCATGCTGGGCGGAACGCCTGGCGTTTCGGACAAGCGGCGGCCGCTTCTACCCGTGCACGGCAAAGACAACATGCGCCCCGGCCAGCAGTTTACCCCCCCCCCCCCCCCCCCCCCCCCCCACCCCCCGTCAAACGCAGAAAAAACCAGAGAAAACGATAGAAAAAGTCAAAAAACAGCAGAAAACACCATGATCAGTTAAGAGCGTGTCACCTACTACTACTACTACTACTACTACTACTACTACTACTACTACTACTACTACTACTACTACTACTACTACTACTACTACTACTACTACTACTACTACTACTACTACTACTACTACTACTACTACTACTACTACTACTACTACTACTACACTACTACTACTACTACTACTACTACTACTACTACTACTACTACTACTACTACTACTACTACTACTACTACTACTACTACTACTACTACTACTACTACTACTACTACTACTATATTGTACAGCGTTGTATGATTTCCTATTCTATAATTTTCAACCTAGGCATCGCTAGGCCCTCGGCCAACAAAGAGTGCGAACTTGAGGACGAGTGGTGTCAGCTTAGAGGCTTCAGTTTTTTGTTGTAAACCTCCATTTGCTCCTAGCTTTCCCTGTCAGATGCATTGTTTCTACATGAAGGTCGTCGGTAAGGAATCCTACAACAATTACATCCGGCAGTTTGTAATATTTGATGTCGAGATAATGCTGTCATGGAAGCTCCAGAATCACCCTGTTTGTCGAGTGGACTACCGACGAATGAATAGTTAGTTGCGGGTGTAGGGACCCAAGATGGGTAGCTGAGATGGCGCATGCCTCCTGAACATTATGCCGGCGCCACAACAAGTGCCCTAGCTATGGATGGATCACAGCTTTAGCATGTCGGTTCCCAGGGTCAAAGTTGATTTCAGTTTCGCGGCAGGCTGTTGCCTCGGGATCGCCAGAATGGGCAGTTTCGCGAGCGTATGCCTCAATTTCATCCTTCAGGCCCACGTCCGTCGGCAACGCCTTCATCGCCCTCTAGTGGGCGTCGGCACCACCAGCACGACCGCCAACACGACCACGATCACCACCACCAGCACCACCAGCACCAGCAGCACCGGCAGCACCAGCAGCACCAGCAGCACCAGCAGCACCAGCAGCAAAAGCAGCAACAGCAGCAGAACCAGCAGCACCAGCACGACAAAGTGCTTGGGGCTCGGAAAGGAGAGCAGAGTCCGACCTCGGGTGGTTTCTGGAACACTTTTGGGGGCCGCCATCACGACCCCAAGGCCGGCGCAGGCCCGACTTCCTGATGCAAGTTGTACAAGTTGACCTCTGACCTCTGCATTGTAACTCTGCGTTCTGGCCCCCAAGCACAGCTTATGTAGTGGCTTTTCGACTCACTTACTTCAAGTCACTCTTCCGGTACCTCGCTGATCCCTGAGTAGTCTGCGATGCATGAGCTCTCAGCAGGGAACGCTTACAGGTTGGTACGAGGCTGATGGAGGTTCTTGTGCTCATTTCAATTTATGACATATCGCCGCCGGATGGGTACCACTTCAAAGGGTACAATGGACACGTGAATCCAGAAACGCGAGCTTGTTGACCTCCGTGGAGTCGCTTATGCAACTCGGGGTGTTTGAGGTGGCGTTCAACGCTCACGTGCTTCGACTGATGTAGCTGATGATGCTGATGTAGGGCCTCTTTGGAACGCAGCCTCATTGCCCCGGCAGGCTCTGGCACTCACCAGCACAAGTACGCCCCTGCCAAAAGTTCTCTTACTCTTCCTGGTCCCAGTAGCATCATTCCCCTAGACTTGCCTGAAACATCGCTCTACTAAACCTTTCCACCTTCAGGCTCAGGCGACAACCGCGCACATGAGGCAGTCCTGCACCCCACGCTGCTCCTGGGCTCACTTGGAATGTTTGGGGGGAATAGGGTGTAGGGTTTACGGGGATGCCGTGGTTGCTTCTGCTAGGGGATCCCTACTTCCTTCCTGACATCTTGGCGTTCGTCCAAGGTCGCCTGAGCCCACAAGCCCATGCAACAGCTACAAGCAGGTTACAACCGGCGACTGTAGAAACCCTACCTAGTCCCACACTGAGACTCCCGATGCCTCCAAAGTGGGTGCCGTGAGCTCTTTGGCAGGCTCGCGGCCTCCGCGCGGCCATTGTGGAAGTCCAAGGAGCCGAAGGTGCAGGGGATTCAGAAAATCCGTTCAAGCTTTGTTCAGACTGCTTTCAAAACATTCAAGCCCTACGAACAAACCTTTTCAACCCTAAACCCTAAACCGCCTAAACCTTGTCACGTTTTAAGCAAGGGCGCCGCAGAGCTTTCGCGCAACCGCTTGGAGCGTCTTCTGGAGTCGGCGGCCTCAATGGCCGAGAAGCTTGGCGATGCAGTCCAGATGTGCGGAAATCGGGGTTTGAAGGCTTTGGGTTTTGAAGCTTTAGTGTAAGATGTCAGTGTATGAAGTCCCTTGATTAGAGCCAGGGTCTGTCCGTCGGCACACGCCACATAGCGCTAAGCACCCAGCTTGATGTGGAAACGATGCCCCTAAACCATGAATCCTGAACTTCGGCACTGCAACTCCTGACACTTTCTAATCTACATGCGGAACGTGCCTTGTCTTCACAATTTATCATTTTGCGTAGTCGTGTTTTCGTAGTATCTTCACGAGCCAAAGGACCTCAACACCGCTTCTCGCGCGGATGCTGCGTTTCCTGGCGCCCGTGGCTGCCCCGCTGGGCGATGGGGCACTGGTGATCGGCCGAGGCAAATCTAGGGATGTTAGGGTTTATAAGGTTCAACCCATAGCCTAAGCGCCAGACCTTCAGGGTTATGAGGATTTGCAAATGGGGGTTTGGCGAAGGGCAAACAGTTTTCATTCGCCTTGGTCCTGAACGGGGAATGCTCTATCAGTTCTCTCAGAGCGCTTTGACCCCCTAGCTGTTTCTCGCAGGATACATCATGGCCTGCACGTGGCTCTACTCGCGGCTTGGCCATTTTGTGGAGGTCGTGCGAGCGAAAGTATGTGCCCAAACAGGGATTAAGTAATGAAGGGTGTGGGGCTTAAGGATGGTCCAAGCCTATGCCCAGGATTTGCAGCAAGACGCCTTACGAGCTCCAAGCTGCAACAGGTCTGGTCGGGCCCCTAGTTGCCGTGATGTAGGAGACGCAGAAGGGTTCCTTGTGTGTGTGTGTGTGTGCTTCTGTACCATCCTGAAACCGGAAGCCCCTACAAGACTTCAGTTCATAGGCGACAAACCGCAACCTAGCCTGATGGGTCGGACTCGGAGGTCTTGTGCTTCTTCGGTGGAACCTTCGTAGCGCTGTTCGCTGCTGTGGAGGCGCGCTCCGGACCTGTTCTGGCTTTTTCGAGTTCAGACCCTTATGCCGCCCCAAAATCCGCCAAGCCCAAACCCTAGACCCTAAATCCCGAGCCCCTAGAAGCCATTTCCGGCGCCGAGAACAGGCCTTCCGAAAGATGGGCCTGGAACGCCTGAACGCAGAACTGCAGCGCCCTTGCTTAAGGTTAAGGCACCGGTCAACAACGCGATGCTTGTTTTGAGGGTTCAGGGTGTAGGATTTAGGGTTTAAGGGCTGTCATGGCTTTGAGCTGAAGAGGTTGTGTGTTGAGCGATGTCAATATCTACAAGCTGTGTTCTCTCTCTGAGTTCTGGTCATAAATAATTGACATTGTTTAACACGGCGCGATCCCCTCAACCTTCAACACGCAACTTCCTAAAACCTTAAACCTTGAACCCTGAACTGCGAACTGCTTGTTTGGGAAGACATGGCCTCTGGTTTGACGTGGGCATCGCCGGCTGGAGTTCAAAATGACTAGTTTGTTCTATGGTGTTAAAGTCGCAAAACCCTAAACCCTGAACCCCCAGGGAGCAAAATTCCGAAGATGCAACATCCTGAAGCCCTCTTCCAGGTACATAATCGACCAAGCTACGTTGGTGGAAGAAGCCTCAGCTTTAGATGATTTGAAGGACAGGACTGATGCTGGTGATCGGAGCACCTTCCCCCCCCCCTCCCTCCCCCCGAGTTCCACCCTCCATGCTGATGTGTTCTGGGTGGAACCTCCTGAGAACACCGGCATCTTTAGGCAAAGGCTCTTCGAACTCAGGATGGAGTTCTGGGAATTCGATAAGCACAGGGCTTAGTCTGTCTCTGAAACTTTGTGCTTGGTTTCGGCGTGATCCTTCTCTTGTGGCTTGAACGGTCTCTTCAGTTAGTTATTCATCCAACTCTGAGCATGTTGCCTTGGACTTGAGCTCTGGCGCCCTTCTCCCGATGCGTGTGCTTGTGAAGCTCCAAACAGGACGAGAATGCCGACGGCATTGTAGATGTGGACCAGTGGCTTGCCAGAATGTGGCCATACCCGAAACACTGCTTAGGGTTTCGGTTTCTGGAGGAAGAAGGTGTGGGTCATAGTGGCACGTGTTGGATGTTTGCATGTGCTTTCGGAGGATGGACGCACGGCAGCTGGCACGCCAGAAGTTGCGTGCCTTGGTCTGTTGCCTTGTGGGTTTGACTGTTCCTGCTTTTGTCCATTCGCCAGCATAAAAAACAAGTCGGGCTGCTCTACGTTGCCTGGCAGATGTGGCCATGGTGAGCATCGAGGATCCGAAGAGGCTCCATGCTCTAAGCCGCCCGAAACCCTCTCAACCCTCTAAGACCCAAAACCCCCAAAACCCCCCAAAAACCCCCCCAAAACCCCCCAAAACCACCCAAAACGCTCCAAAACGCCCAAAGCCCCCCAAAACCCCCAAAACACCCAAAACCCCCCAAAGCCCCCAAAATCCCCAAAACCCCCCAAAACCCCCAAAACCCCCAAGACCCCCGAACCCCTGAGCGCAGGTTGGAGGCGGCAGTCTCCTACCTCTGGGCAGCCTGCCTGGGGGCTCTGGCCACTCTGAAGATCCAGTTCGCGCAGACGGCGGGGCCAGTATCAATGCTTCGAAATGCCGAAATGACATGGACAGCTTTCGATACAGGATTCAGGGTCGAAGCTGTGTGTTGCACGTTCGTGTAGAGCGTGGAGGAATGTGTAGGAGAGCAGGCCGAACACTGTCACAAAAGCCTGGTCGACTTTAAGGTTTCAGCTGGTGACCCCCCAGAGCAAACCCCAAAAGCCCTACGTCAACTCAAAGCCACTGGCCTGAAAATCCCTAAGCCCTACACCATCCTACACCCTGAAGTGCAACAAAGCAACCACACCTGGCAGAGGTTGCATACGCGTTGGCGTTCGCCGAGATGCTGCAGCTTGGCAAGTGGAGTCAGGGGTTTAGGTTTAGGGTTGAGGGTTTTAGGCTTTTGAGGGTTGGAGTTCAAGGCTCGTAGAAAGCTGGCTTTGCATTCACCAGAGAACGCCCGCAAACAAAGCAAAACCCTCGACCCTAAACCGCAAACCCCAAAATCTGACTCGTCTCCCTCTCTACATTTTGCGTATTCTTAAGACGTTAGCTCAGTCTCTGAATCAGAACCTCCAAGGTTGCAAACGAAGGTATCATGAGAAAGAAGGTATTGGGCCCCATCGGATGCCGATGTTCTTCTAGTGGCCAAAGTTAATTAGGATCTAAGAAGTGGAAAAACTGGATTCATTTGGTCCTTGCGTTTCGTTGCTTTTGACGTGAAAGTATGTTTGGGTCATGCGTGCATGTAGTTGGAATATCAGCAACACAGTTTCGCTAGAACAACTTGGCAAAAGTGAGCCATCTCCAGGTCTTGAGAGGACATCATTTTGAATGTGCGGAAGGCACGTGCCGGTATTTGATATTCTGATAAAACAGTTAATATATGAATTAGTTTATGAAACAGCAGAACAATGACTGAGACCGCGGGCGCACAACTGTCCCAGTCGCTGTCCTGCACTTTCCCGCTTCGAACGAGGGTTCCGTACCCTTCACCCGCAGATTACATGGCTTTGGGCCCTGTTAGCCATCCACACACGCACACACATCCGATGCTTCGGGCCAACTTCGAGCCGTGATTCGAAGCACAAATCATCTTTCGAAATTGGTTTCGCCCAACCAATAGTCGCTAAGGCAAGAGGTCCCCAATACTGAAAGTGGCCACCTCACCGCTCCTATGGGACAGAGAGCCTCTTGTTTGCTGATTTAACCGTATAGGAGAAGTATTTCAGGACATGCCGCATGGGGGGATGTGGGTACCCTAAATCCAGGAAGCTGCCGCTGCTGCGGTTCCTGGCTCCATCGCTGTGCTCTTTGTTGGGCCCAGAGCTGCAACATTGGGCTCCCCAGTGGCACAGGGCTTGATTTTTTTGTTGGGGTGTTTTGGTTTTGGGAGTTCATCAACAGCTAGGAGCTAGAGGCCGAGGACTGCAGCAGCGAACGCTTGCTGGCCACTGACAACTGGAACGGTGTTATTGTAGCAGAGCATGTCTGTCTTCTTTCAAGGTTGAAACTATTCTTGACGTTCTGCTCAAGGCTCGATGTTTCGTTGCCATGCTCCAGTGCATGTAGGCTTCATCCCTCCATTCAGTGTCTTCATGAGTAGTTCATGGCTGTGTCCCAGCAAGAACTCTCTGATCTCGTTCTGGACACCTGGGAAGGCGGTCCTGATTCTGATGATTTGGTTTGTGACCAAAGCGCAGGGTGCGGTGCAGCTTGCTTGCAAAGGTTGTTTTGCAAAGTTGGCAGCCATTTTTGATGGAAAGGTAGAGTACTTGCAGTACCTTCGTAAGGCTCACAGGAACGGCGATGCTTGGGCTTTCCCGTGGCGGCAATGAAAACACAGCCACAGCACTCGCCGGTCATGAGAAGAGTCACTACGGACAGTCGCACGCACAACCCCGCATACCCAAAACCCATTAGGCCGATTAGGCCCGTAGGCACGTCTTGAAAAGCCCCTGCACAGCCCAGGTATGCCTGCCTGCGCGGAGGAACCATGTTTGGCGTTGCTTTCATGAAGGCTCATCATAGTGATCTACCAATTTTGCAATATATCCATATGACCATGTAACAATATAGCAATGTGTACGCCGGACCTTGACGTTCTATTTGACGGAAGCACGGGAAAACAGGTTTCCCATTCCTTCTTCTTTATTCCCTCTCCTTTGCTAAACAGTTCTTTATTCCCTCTCCTTTGCTAAACAGGATGGGTGCGTTGGGGAGGAAAGGGGAGGCGCGGAGAAAGACCCCATCGCTTTTGTCGGCCGATGAATGTGGATCTCTAAAGTCGCGTTTAGAATTTTTTACTTGTAAACACTTAACATGTACGAATCTGGCTGTGTTTCGAAATTTTTCAAATTATTTTCGCCGCTTTCAATATCGGAAGCTGTCCACCACCCAGAGCGTCAATGTCCATCGTACATAGCCATGTAGCTTTCTAGCAGTATAACCATCCATGTTTAGCAGCTACGTGATGCTTCTCACATTGGGTCCGCTCAGATGTCTCACGTTTCCAGCCAGTGTGTTGCCGTGACAGTTCGGCTGATATGAAGCTTTCCGCGACTGCGCAGATTCTCGAAGAGCGAGGCATGCTGCAGCGCCTGTATGGCCAACCGCTCCTCGAGATGAACAGGACATTTGGGTGGTGTTGGGTGAGGTTTGGTCAGTTTGGTCCCAAGCCCCTTCGCAAATCGACTTGCTAGCTGCTAAGCTCTCAACCCCAGTCCGAGGTGGGACCCGCAAAAGTCCTACCTGGACGAGGTCGTGGGCTTCTCCTTGGCAGCTGCAGGGTTGCAAATGGTTCTCCAACCTCTGACCCCGTTTGGGTACTCAGATTCAGGGTTTAGGGTTTCGGGTTATTTAGAGCTTAAGGTTTAGGTCGAATTTACGGCTCTCTAGCATGAAGCGGAATTCGAAGGGACCCGAACACGAACGGTAACGCGCCTTCTCAGGCACGGCCAGAAGCCGTGTAGAGCATGGCCTTAGGAGCCGAGCTCGTGGCCAGAGGGCGTGGACCCGGCTCGGGGCACGTGTGTGGGATCTCCGCAGAGCTCGTCGTATTTGAGTATAGGGCATCGGGTTTGTGCTCTCTCACCCTTGGCATAGAATGTCTGAGGCCCTGGGCTTCTACTGGCAGTTCCAGTCGGGCTTTCTGGTGCCCTGGCCTATGAGCTGGCCCCCAGGCGCAAGGAGAAGGGCATCCTTTTGTTGGGCTCTGACTTAAATGATTCTCGTTTGATGGTGGCTACGATAACAGTTAGGGCTATTACAGTTGCTGTTGGGGTTTAGTTTCGGGATGCTTCGGGTTGAGAAGCCTGGTCTGGCGAAGCGGGCTAATGCAGTTCATCAGAGGAGGGTCTTTGGAGGGCGTGAATGCTTTGCTTGTGATTGTTTTTGTATACCTATCTGTCTATCTATCGTCTCTGTGCATCTGAGGCTGCTTTGGCCGCTGACAGCTATGGAGACATTCCTCGAGCTTCAGATCTCATGGCAATAAAGCCCAGCTCAGGGTGCCCGATGTCCATCTGCAAAAGGCGGAAGGCTGCCGATGACATGCGCAAAGAGCAGCATTCTTGGCAAATCAACTTTTCCTGCCCACAAGTGGCGAGGTACAGCTGCTTTGGTCAGCGATAGGTGCAGATCAGGGTTCCATGAGCATGGTGCTAACATTCCACGGAGGCTCAGATTGACAAAATGCCCTCTGCACCTAGCGCATCCCCACAAGCGAGCAAAAGGAAGCACGGGAATCTTCGTTCTGTCAAACATGCCCGTTTCGCTGAATTCACGTCTGAGCTTGCGCATGTGAGGATCCTTCCGTGGCCTCGCGTCTGTCGGTACTGGAAGAGGCTTTGCAGGGAAATGCTTGGCGTGCTGTGGGACATGGGGTGTTTGAGCATCTTGCAGAGGTGCGGTAAGTCTGCGCATGTATGGAAGCGATGGGGCTCGAAACTTCACGAGCAGACAGCTTTCACCGTATTTGGATGAACTCCTGCGGTGTGATGAGCGCTTGGCTGCACACCCTGGTCTTCCTCCTTCTTCCTGTCGTCTGGTCTTGTGTCGAGGCCGAGAGCACGTGCGGCGACTTTCTCCAGCTCGGCTTCGCCGTGGGCCAGACCAGCCTTTCCCGGAAAGCACCGGAGGCACTACACACCAGCTCGACCTCCTCCATCTCACATCCGTGGCCACATGCACGCGGGAAGGTTCCGGGCCAGTTCGGAACCACCGACGTCGTGCTTGCTTTGCCTCATGGCCCAGCAAACTGGACCTGGCACAATCCCATGGGCCAGTGGGAAGACATGGTGGCAGGCGGCCCTGTCATCGATGTTGAGAAAAACTTGTACCTAATGACTATGCAGGGTTTGTGGAAGTTCTCACCTTCTGGTGAAGTGCTGTGGCACTATGATACACCGGGCCGGTCTGACAACGAGCCCTACTTGTCGGGCGACTCTTTGTTTGGAAGCACCACCACGGGTCATGTCTTTGCGGTGGACAGGCATACAGGCCAGGAGCTTTGGTCAACTCGGGTGGCAGAAAGAGCGGGAGGGGATGCAGCATATCCGGCCTCCTTAGATGGGGTCTTCGTTGTCCCCTCTTCTAAGTGGGCAGGCTCTACCGAAGCCCTTCCAGGGGGAAACACAAAGATCTTTGGACTGCACGCTGAAACAGGGGACCAGCTCTGGGAATATCAGTCCGACCATGTGTTGTGGAATCTGACGCCTCTATTTCCCGATGATGGCACCTTCGTCTATCAGACTGCAGAGGGACATGTGTTTCGCCTCAGCCTACACAACGGAACCGTCATCTGGAAGACGGAGTTGGCGAACATGTCCGACACCTTCTCGGATGGTGGGGCAGTGCTCGGCCCCAACAAGATCATCTATACCTGCAGCAACCTTGAGGGCAGAGGTAAAGTTGGAGAGCGAGGCGTGGTCCGAGCTTTTGGCCTGGAAAAGGGAAACCTCATCTGGGAGCATATTCTCACAGACCCTTGCTGCACTTTCCCAGCGGTGGGACATGTCAAAGGAGCAGACTCCTTGGCCGTGGTTGTGACCCCCGGGGCGTTTCCGGGTGGCAGCGCGCATGAGCCCGGCAGCGTGGTGGCCTTGGACGCTGAGACAGGGAGCTTGCTGTGGAGGTTCAACGCTGCTCCGCACATGTCGCTCTTCGCGGCTGGCGATGCCGAGCGTGCCGCACACCTAGTGCTGCATGGAGTCTCGCCGCATCTGATTCGCCAGGTCTGTCTGCCCGCGCAATGGAGTTCTCCCGCAATCTCAGGTGACGGCGCCGTCTACGTCGGCCGGATGGATGGCAAGCTCTACGTCGTGCATGGCGCCTTGACGGGAAGTGAGATTGGAGAGCTGACGAAAGACCCTGAGACCGGTGTTTATGCACATGTTCAGACGGTTGGTAGTGCCCCAATCCATGGCGCGCTGGGCTTTGCCGACGGCCTCCTGGGCTACGCAACCTGTGACTCTCTCTACGTCTGGCAAGCGTGAGATGTTCTCTGGATCGGATTCCGATTGCTGAGTTTTGCTGGGGCTGTACAACGTCCTAGACGCTGATAGCGTGGAACCAGTGCTGGAGTGCCGGCTCGGTCTGAAAAAGTTCGCTCATTGCCGGCACAGGGTGCTGAGGGCTTTGAAGAGGCCGCACAGGAATCCCTGTCCCTAAAATCCGAAGCACCAAAATGTGTCAAGTCCCATCAACTTTGCTGCCTAGGCCGTGGCTGGGGATGCCGGAGGCCATGGAGCGGGAGCGGTCATGGGAGTCCCTAAGCCCCAAGGACCTTAGGACCTGAGCTGGGAGGTGTCGTTACGTTGGGTACGTTAGGTCTGTGTGATTTTAATGGAACAAATGGTACGTATACTCATAGTAATCAGGGAGAATGAGAACGACAATGCGTTCACAAACAATAATACAAAAGTGGTTTTAAATATACTAGAATGGCAAGGTGATGACGAAATACGTATGGTTGGTGCGATAGCGGTACCTGTGTTTCCATTCACTTTGGCAATTTTCTTGCTTTGTGTTGTTTCCCACTACTAGAATCAAGCTTACGCAGGCACTTGAGACAAACAATGTCTGCATCCAAGGTGTATTTGCTGAACTCTTCCTGATTGTGCCCAGTTGCGTATGCAATTTATGCATGCCTGTTACACTGGGATACACTGTCAACACACCTCGGTTCCATCATCTGAAGAATCCGGCTTGCCTGTGCAGTATTCTCAGCCCCGAATGGACGTGACCAGGACTCCTGATCTAATCTTCCATCTGAGCCTGGAGGATATGCCCCGAAACCAAGTCCCGTCGAACTTTGGTGCTCGCAGCCTCGTCCTCGTCGGCAGCAGTGGCAGCGGCAGAAGCTGCCAAGAAGTCCTCGGCAGAGGCCGGTGTCTCGAAGAGGTACCACAAATTATTTCCTCAATCCTCAACTTGTTTACAACCAGGTCGACTTCCTCATTGTTTGGTCGGTCGTGGCAGCTTGAGTGCCCAGCCCTTCTAGTCTTGGCCACGGCGCCCTCTTTGCTTCCCTATTCCTGGAAAGATTCCGAAACCCTTTCTTACTGCTGGAGCGGCCCCCACATCTCCTCATTGATCACCTCTCCTACACCCAAGAATCCCCAAAAATCCGATTTCCATTGGGTTCTTTAGCTTTGGGTTCAATGTCAGCCCGATTCAAGAAGCCTCCTGTGGCCACGAAGGCTCGTGCAGCTGCTGAGCGTGCTGCCCAGTTGGCGGCAGCGGTAGGTGAGAGAGGCGGCCGCGAGCCGAGAGGGGGGGGGGGGGTTGGTTTAGGGTCGAGGCTGAGGATGCCTCTATGAGGTCTCGACTTGATAAGGCAGAACAACTCTTATGTAGTAAAAAGGTGTACTAAACATCAAAGCTAACCAAGCCCTCGGATGAGAACTCTTCGATAGCAAGAAGGTTCATGCGCAGCCCTTGGCCCTAGACTTTACAAAAACAGCCTGAAGCTCAAGAAGTCCTTCTCGGAGCCTGACAAGGGTTCAGGGTGCGGGTTCGAGGATTCAGGGTCAAGGGGCCCTAGCACAGCAAAACAAAGCTAAGGGATGCTACAGGGCTACTAAGGAGGCTGATCTCAAGCAGAACACGAAACCGTCCCAGGCCATGTGGGCGGCAGCTCAGATGTGATTGCGTTCGCCTCGGAGACAAGGTGTAGGGAAAGTTTAGGGTTTCGGGTCTCAGGGGTCTAGATTGAAATTGTACCAGTAGGGTTTAGGGCTTAGGGTGAAGTTCTATGGTGGGTTCGCTCTTCATAAGAGTAGCGGGTGATGTTCTAAGGGCGCTGTTCCTTCTGGGAGCCTTGATGCTACAAAGCCCTAAACTCCAAAGCCAGACCCGGACGCAGCACCCTAGACCCTAAAACGCACATTTCAAGTTGCAGTCCCAAGGCCGCCAGCCCCGAAGATCACAGCCTCATTGCCCCCATCACCTCGACTTCAGGGTGTCGGGATTGGGGGTTTAGAGTTTAGGAGTTGGGGCTTCGAGTTTAGGGCGCATGAGCATGTGAGGCTGGCCTGGGTGTGGCTGGCGGCTCAGGGGGCGGCGGTGTGGTTTGGGTGTCGGATTTCGGGGAGTTTAGCGTCTACGATCATAGAGGCGGTGAAGCATACTTCTTGGAGCCGTAGGCTGTGATTTTCCCCCGGACAAACCCCCGAAACCCTGAAGGCTTACTCTTCGGATGCTGCAACCTTAGCCGGCCTTCGCATCAATTCCCTGCCTGATGTTGTCCCAACCTGGGTTCAGGATTTAGGGTTTCGGGTTTTTGGGGTTTAGGGTTTAGGGTTTAGGTCTTCGGGATTCGGTTTTTAAGGGTTTAGACTCCCAAGTCCTTGGTCTGAGGACTGGGCGGCTTGGAGCGCAGGCGCCGGCATTGACCACAGCCGTCGCCCTGTCTCCGGGGTTTGGAAGGCTCGTGGTCGGAACACTTGGAAAAGTCTTCCCTCTCCAGAACTTCCACTTAGCGGAAACAGCCACATGAACAGTAAAGGGGCGCCCTACAAAATGGGCTAGCTCGAACACCCTATCGAAGCTCGCTTCAGGTCATAGCTCTGGGGGCTTTGGGCGCAGCCTTTTGGGACGCCTTGGCCACTGGGCTTTGAAAGCAGGGCCTCCAGGTTAAGGGCTTCCTGCTACCTACTTTAGGCTCTATTTTCGTAGCTTCTACAGGACTTGGGTAGCTCCTGTGCGAGCCTTGCAACTTCACCCATCATCATTCAGTCGGGCGGCGGCTTGCAGCTGAAGTCATGCTGTCAATCAGCACAAAAGCCTTTCGGGACTCTCGTAAACCTTGGCGCAGACCAGGCAGAGTTCTTGCCACTTTGGTTCCAGCAGCCAGGACGCGGGGTAGCCCAGTTGAAGCCCACTTTCTGTTGCATTGTTGTGCTATGTGTGCCCTGACGCACAAGATTCTGTCACAAGATGTCTCTTCCAACCGAAAGACTCAAACCGTCGCACGCCTTATGTTCAAGCGCGTTGAGGCTCTTGGGTGCGGCATCACATTCACCAGAGGTCGTCCTCACCTGGGAGACAGGGCCACCGTCCAGGTGCTATGCGCAGGTCTTTGATCGGACTTCTTGAAATCGAAAGCCGAAAGCCCTCGTACGGAAATCAGGAGGGGGACAATTCATCGGACTTCTTGAAATATTCGACAATCTGACTGCCCCGGAACTGCAGGTGCTTTGCGCTCGACCTGCCACGGGGCTCTCTTGCCATCCGCTTCTCGCAGCCCATTCGTCCCAGCCATGTAGTGCGCCAGGGAATCGGGGAGTCCGCAAGCTGGGTGACAGCGACAGTTGATTCAGCATGGTCCAGGTAATATACCAAGAAGATGAGCAGTCTCCGCAGCAGCCACGGCTCAAGATTCTGGAACACAAAGCTTGGAGGAGAAGCCAAACAGTTTTGTGACCTCCGCACACTCAGAAGACTATACCTGTAGTTGTGACAAGGCAGGCCAGCGAGACATACCCCGCATACCAAGTGACCGGCAGTTAGCCAGTCGTCGCACTTGAACATGGAAGTCATCATCACAGGCCCGGTCTCTGAGACTCCGGAGAATTCTGGAAAAGCCTCCAAAAGCCTAAGAGCTGCTGATCGCCCAAGCCAGCGCTCCAATCACCTACTCGCCCTCTGAAGGCTTAACCTTTTCAGACCTCCAGGGCAAGCTTTTCCGAGTTCAATTCCCATGCCCCCCCCCCCCCCCCACTTGAACGCCCCTTCAAACAAAAAGACGAAACATGACCACGCCAAGAGCCCCCCATCCTCCGTGCCCTCTGAATACGAATCCTTCCTGCACCCTCAGAGACCACAAACAGAAGTTTGTCCTGAAAACGCCAACCAGCAGGCGGCCAAGGTTTCCTGGGCCAGGAACTTTGCAGGCTCTCCCAAATGCATGGGGCTGCGAAAAGGGGACATTTGTTGGGTTGAGGCCACGCGGCCGAGGTCTTTCAGGGCATGGAGGGCTGAGGTCTTCATGTGCCGGGTCGGTGAGGGCTTGTTTTGCAAGATACGGACCTGAACAGGCTTTCCAGGACGTTGCATGCTTTCATTCGATGCTTCATCTTCGCCTGTGGCGGGAGCGAGTGGATGAGATCGATTCTGTGGGATCGTCGCACGCTGATACTTTGCGTAGCGAGGTTATGCTCCGGCGCAGTATGTGAAGGCCGCAGCATCCTTTTGTGTTGCAAAATTCCCAAATACATGCTTTTGCTTGATTCCAGTGTTGCCTTTCTGAACCATACGCCCATGCCAGAATGCACAACAAGTTCCCAACGGCCCAAGTCTCATCCGGGCAGGTCGCTCTTGCAGGTAGATGGTCTCCTGGACGCACATGGCAAGAAGCTGCAGGTTAGCAAGTTGCCTGGCAGCTTTGGGACGCCCCATCATAAATCCTCAATGCTCTAAATCCCAAACCCCAAACCCCAAACCCTGGCTGCCAAAACTTTAGCTCACTTTGCCTCTGGGCAGTGCTCTGTGTGCGATTAGCATGCGGGTGGGAGTTCTGGGATCCGAGGATCATTCTGGTTGACACGACGGTTCCAGTCTCCCGCCTGGGTGTCAATGCCGACGAGAAGGATACCAGAGCCCAAGTACTTGCACATCATCTGGATTTCCTTTGTAATCGCCAGAAGACTGTAGACCCGAGTCGCCCAAAATCCTAGTTGTAACAACTCCCCAGCCCAAGCTGTGGAGTGCTTCCGAGTTTTTGTGTCGGAGGGCAAGGCATTTGGCCAGCGGTGGTACTCGCAGGTTCAGCTGGAAAGCGTGGACATCACCTCCCCGACTCAGTGCCGTGCACTTCTTGGGAAGGCCAGTTTGGGGGGTTTCGGTTTGTGGGCTCAGGGAAAGGATTGCTTCGGATCCGGGCAAAGCTTTCTCGAAAGGGGGCGAAAAGGGGGATGCAAGGGCATCTTGAGTCTTTCTTAAACACAGAACGTCAGGTGAAGAGTGGCCATGCTCTGTCCCTGTTCCATCTTGCTGGTGCGACGGGGCTGCAACTAATATTGGTCTAGGGTTGTATCCTAAACCATAAATCCAAAATACTTGGAGGCCTGTAGAATCCGGTAACCCTGAGGACGTTTTCGAAGCCAACTGCATATAGGCCTTACTTATATTGCCCTTCACTTTCCTGAATGGTTTGGAATCCCCCCCCCCCACTGCCCCCCCCCCCCCGCAAGAAAACAGCAGACATCGCTTCAAACTCACAATCCCTGCAGCCTTCCGGCTGATGCCCTATTCCCTAAAACGCGGTACGTTGACTTGAAAACCCCTGCACCCCAAGAAGCCTCTGTAGAGAACCCTTGAGACCTTAGTAAAAGCCAAAATCTTGAATCCTCAACCCTTAGCATCCCAGGTCATGAGCGGCGCCGCGGAGAAGGACTTCGACCTCGGCCTCAAAGTCAACCTGGACGGCACGAGGCGAGCTCTTTCCAGAAGAGCCTGGGAACTTTCAGTGGTTTCGGGTTTAATTAGAGCTGGAGAGTTTCTACTTACGTCGCGTACTTGTCGCTGAAGGTTTTGGATTTAGTTGGCTGGGGGGGTTGCCCGGGGCCCTGGGGTGAAGGGTGCGCGGGCTGCGAGGACCTTAATGCATCCTAGGCTCCTGCGTGAAGCATAAGGGCATTTCCACAGTCCTCTTCCAAACGGATTGTTTTCAGCCTCTTGAGGAAAGTAGGCGCCACTGAACAGCGCACTAAACGCTGGAGCGTGCAAGGAGAGCACAGGGAAGGCCCGCTAAGTGCCCGTATGGGCTTGTAGCAGGCGCTCGTGGAGTCTTCAGCTTTTTCATCAGATGTTGTCGCCAGTCCCCTGCTTGAAGCCCCCCAAATGCGAACCTACTCGCAACCTGAAGCTCTGTGGTTTGCTGGCGCTATTGTAAGGTCCGCTTGGGGCGCTGTTGGAGCTGGAGCTGTTAAACGCGCAAAGGAACGCCAACACTCACGATCTTACTATACATGCATATAGGTATACAGACACATGTATTTTGTTATCGTTAGTATTGTTTTATTTATTGTGTTTCTTGCAAGTGTAGTTACGATGACGGTGGTTGTTGCTGTTCATGTCTGCGAAACCTCAAGGCTACTTCCAGGAGGATGTAAGGATAGTAGTAGTAAGAACCGTACTGGAATCTATGGTAACAACAGTAGAAATAGTAGCATTTGTAGTAGTAATAACAGTCATGACAGTGCTACATAGTAGTCATCATAGTCAGAATCGTCATAATCGAAATAGTAGTCATATTAGTAGTGAAACTAATCATTATAAAAACAGTAATTGGGCATGTGATAATATTCATCATAGTCATCATAGTCATAACGGTCATGATAGTCAGAATAGTCATAATGCAAGAATAAAAGCAACAGTTGTCATGGTAGTCCGAATAGCCACAAAACTCAGAATAGGCATATTTGGCATAAACGTAAGACAAGTCGTAATAGTAGGAGTAGTAGTAATAGTAGTTATCATAGGAATGGACGAACTGCAATCACCGCAAGAATTGTGAGCGTTCGCAATAGAAAAACTTCCAGAACAGGAATAAGATAAAGCAAGTAATAGTAATAAATGAGAGTAATCGTAGCAAAACGTCATCATGGCAAGAACAGTCACAATATTCGTATGAGGATATGTGACCGTAAGACTAGTAGTACTTGTATTAGTAGTAGCAACAGTAGACGTGATCCCTGAGATTGCAGCCTGGAGCTTTGAAAGGCACCTCTTGGACGCCTGCCGGGCAAGAACGGAGGGAGGCCAACGAGTTGAGGGTTTCGGCTTCAGGGCGGCCAGGGCGGCTTGAGGGTTATTCGATGACTCAACTTGCTCAAGAACTACAAAAGAAAGCACACAAACGTTGGACTCGGAAGGTGCTGCACGTCCCAAGTTCGTCTTCACGTCCTCGCTGGCGGTCTTTGGCGAGACCCTGTTGTGGGGCACGGGGGTTTAGAGTTTGGGGGGCATTCGGGAATGTTGTTAGTGTTTCATGTGTTCTAGGCTTGACGTCCATATCAAAGTTCGGCTGTAGCACTTAGGGTTGTGCCCAGGGACATGGCCTCATGTAGATCAGAAGACCAAACCCTACACAGCACCAGGACCTATGGAGAGCAGGGACGAGCCGTAGGCGACCTGTGTCCGGGATGGTGGGCCGGGTTCTGGTGCTCTTTGCTGCCCATGCTAGGGCGGGCGCAGTATTTTGTCTGCCGAGAGTTAGCGGCACGCTTTCGTTTTAGAAAGCCTTTCGGTGCGAAAGTGAGCGGCTAGCCCAAGCTCCATTACGTGCGAGCGGCGTAGCGAGCCAGCGTCCCAGACCTAATCCAGAAGAGCAAGAAGAAGCCGCGGCTCTGGAAGGCGACACGGACAAGATCGTGCCAAAGAACACCTATGGCATGACCAAAGCAGTTTGTGAACTTCTGGTGAATGACTACACCAGGCTCGGCTGCCTCAGCTCAGCTCTTTTGATGCCTATTGCTCAAGCCGTTGGCGGGCAGTCGTGTTTCTCTGCAACTCTTGCTGGGATCAAAAGCTCAGAACCTTAGAGGCTGTAGCAGTGGACCCAGCATCGCGTCAGCGTATGCCTAGACAGGGAACCAGGATGAGCCCTAGATCCCCGAAACCCGAACCCCTCAACCCGAAACTCTACATCCCTGGAACGAAAAAAAAGCCTAAGCAGCCTAAGCAGCCCCTATCTTTTTGCAAACATAGCCTCAGCACCCTGTCTTTTGCCAGGAAGGGGTTTTTGGACGGCCGCACTGCCCGGCTCCCAACCGTCATCGTGCGGCCTGGCCTGGAGCCCAGGACTTTCACACTCCCTGTACGGGCTTGCGTGGTTCAGGGTTTAGGGGTTCAGGTTTTCGGGTTGTAGGGTTTAGGATTCAAGGTTTAAAGGGTTTGGAAGGCTCAATCCGATTTGAGTTATAGTTATAGGGGTCTTACGGTTTGAAGGAAGTTCGTTGGCTTTTTCGAGGGCCTTAGGCTGTTGTGGTCTTGATTCTCAGGTTTCCATCTGATGTTGGGTTTTAGGGCTTAGGGTTTAGGGTGTCGAGTCCCTGGTCGTTGCAGCTGAAAGCCCAGCTGGACTTGTGCTGCGCAGTGTCACGTGGTTCCAGGCCGACCAAACGCTGCGACGACAAGCTGCTTTTCAGGAGCATGCGCTGATGATAGTGCAAAGCACACTGTGGACGGCAAATACACATGAATCTGGATATACAATTCAGTATCAATATCAAAGGTACATATAACGTGAATATGAATGAGAAACGAAATGTAAAAAACCCATGAGGAACTTCAGAAGTGCATACACAGTCAAATGCATGAATACAGCTCTCTCGCAGTCCCCCGTTTTGCATGAGTGTAAGATGTGTGCCTGAAGAATATGTTGCCATATTGCCCGCGGGGCATCACAGAACCCCGTACCTACCGTCCGAACCTTTCGAGTTGCAAGAAGCAACATGCATGTTGATCTGCCAGTCAGCATCTCGCCCCAGGAGTCGTCCGGGAGCCCCTTCATGGCGAGGATGCTGTTCTCCCGGTGGCCAGGCAAGACTCAACAGATGTGCAAGCAGAGACGTGCAAAATTCACTGATTTCAGCAGACCCCCTTGCCCCGATGCAGGACACTTCCTCATTCTGTGACGAGCACCCGGGCGCTGATCTCCAATCTGGCTGCTTGGGTGCACACACGGCCAATACTCACTAGCACTAGCCTTGATGCTTAGTGCTGGCGGGGAAGCTGATGTTGCCGAGTCTCTGACATCAGCTGGTTGATGCGCAAGTTTGCCGCGATTCATCGGGTCAGGTCTCGTTTCACTTGTCTCCCAAAGATTTCGCAAAGCTAGTGCAGGTAATTCTTCACGACGCAGAGTGGCCCCCGACTCTGGCAGACCGCTCGGCAAATCTGCCTTGCAGGTGCGAGCAGCAGCTTCTCTGGCGCTTTGCTATTGGGATGTGCTACTCCTCCACAGTGGAGACACGAGGGTTACTCAAAGCTTATGTAGTTTCAGGCAAGTGCTGATGCAACTGTCCATCAGAGCCGTTATCTTTAGGAAAGGGTGACTGAACTAGTTTGGTGTTCGTAGTGCCCCACCTTCTTGGCATGGTAAGGATTGTGCCCAGGCAGGAAAGGCAGGAGCGCCCGCGCTGTGCCAGTACGCCTCATGTTCTGCTCCGATAGACCCCGTGGCTTCGTCTTTCGTGGGTGGCGCTTTCGCCCCATCCAACGAACATTGCTCCCGTTCGGCATCCCACGCCGCTGGCGGGAGCATCAGATCAGAAAGCAGATGATGCATTGGAAAAGGCGTCCAGCAACTCCAAGTTCGCCATCTCGCTACAAAAACCATCTCGTCTTGTGATTGACAAGACGTTTGTGGGCTTGGCATTTGGCTTGAGTTTGCAGTGGGCAAGATCGGAAGTCTCGCCGTAGGCTGAACCCAAACTTTGCACGTGGGGTTCGATCCGTTCTTGTTCTTGCTTATCGTTACTCTTGCTGGTAGAGCTTTCATGTCTTGACTCTCGGCCCCAGCTCCAATTTCGGCCGAAGGCGGAGGGTTTTGTGGGCTCAGGCGCCCAGGTTTATCCTCCCCGCCCCATCGGATTTCGAACACGTCCCCCGGCATCTCCACCGAACGAAAGCTCGGGATGTGGAACGGTTCTTGCGAGGCCATGCACGCTGCAGCAGCTCGTTGATGCCCTCTACGACACTCGGAGCGTGAGTTTGATGGATGTCATCTCTGCATTTGCGGGTTGGGGTTTAGGGTACCTGCTTTAGAGTTTTGGGGTTTCGGGCCTTGAAGGTTTGAGCATTCATCTTTGGAATCTGACCCATGTTGTGGCTTCTGGTTTGCTCTCTATCACTGAGTCTTCTTGTCTGCGCTGTCTGCACCGGATGGTCGTATCAATGTAGTCATTGTGCTTGTAATAAAAATATAGAGGTCTTCATATCGATAAGAGCGGTGTTAATTGCAATTGTTGTAGGTGTGGTAAGAAGGCAAGTTAAATAGAAGAAATAGAAGCTAAAATAACAGCAGATAAAGAGGTAATGTAGTAGTCAGGGGTTGTGTTATGGATTATTGCAGAGATTGTTTGGGGTGCTTTGTGTTTGTGGGTTTGGAAGGGTTGAATTCGTAGGTGGGTTGAGACTTGGGGTGGAAGCGAGTGGGGGGGGGGGGGGGGGGGGTGTTGAGTGTGAGGCCTGGGGTAAGGGCAACAGTAGTATTACGAGTATGTGCAGGTAGCAGTGGTGATACAAGGGGAACTATGCTAGTAGTAGTCATAATTCTTAAAACAATAGTAGCAACAGTAGAAGGCTAGTAAGTTCAATAGTAACAAACAATCGTAACAGTCGTAGCAACCGCCACAATCAACAACCATCATAGTAGTCGTAATAACAGAACAACTTGTAGAGGCAGACTAAGAACCCAATTAGTCGAACGAATCATAATTGTCACCATATCCATGCTCATCGTTAAATGCAGTAACAAAGTGATATTTGCATTACTAGTAGTAGCCAAGGTCAGATTAGTGTTGTTGGCACTACTGGTGATTGGCAACAGAGCAATGTGGGGAATACCTGATATAATGCAAAAACGTCGTAGTAACATGAAGAATACGAAAAACACATGGAGTATCTTTAGTACTTGTATTTATTGTAAGAGCTGCAAGAACTCTAAACCTTGTAAAGCTTGAACGTTGGAGCACTTATAGTGCTTGCGGTGGGCTACCCGGTGGGCTGTTTGTCTGTTGGCAGGAACATGGCTAGGAAACTATTTGCAGGTTTTCGGGATCTATTTGCACCGGAGTTGTTCCGAACCGTGCTGATCTTGCAACACCTCGGCACGCCAACTCCTGAACCCGTTCCGAAACCGTTCCGAACCGTTCCGAGCCGTTTCAACCTCTAGTCGCAAACTCTGGACACAATCATGGACCAAGGATGTTGAGACAGTTCCTGAACATTGTGAAGTGTTTTTTCGGGACAAGTAAATGGTTCCTGAGATAGTATGCCTCCGAAACTCCGAAACAGAAACCCTATGCCCTATGCTAAACAGCGCACCGGGTTGTCTGCTGCTTGCGGCAAGTAGTACTAACTAACTGTTATGCTTGTCGTAATCGTAAGACTTGCAATGGCTTGAGCAGTTGTAAGGACTGTAAAAGTGTAATGCTGTAGTTGTAGTCCCGTATCACGTGCAGTACTTGTAACACTTGTAATGCATGTAAGACATGTAGTTCTTGTAATCATGTAAGATCGTAATAATTGCAAAACAAAGCAATAGCTTCCTTCAGTGTAGCCGTACAAGTGAGTTTTCAAGACTTCTAAGGAGGTTGTGCCCGCGGAGGAGCACTCAAAGCTTGGAAAGATCATCGACCAGGACGTTGCCCAACAACGCCTAGGTTCAAGCCTTCGGGAGTGCATCAGGCTAGGGGAGCCATCCCCCCCATGCAGGAGGACGCCTTTCTCAGCCGCGTGGTGGGCAGCATGGGCTCCAACCTCTCCTACGAGCGTGCTCGGGAGCGGGGGCGTTGCCTCGGGGCTTTGGGATTTGTTGAGGTGTTTTGGGTTTGCTGGAGCTTTGTGGCTGACATCTTTGTGGCGAAACTCCTGCAGAGTTTCGGCAGGCAAGAATGCAGTACTAGCGCACTACACCCCAAAATGCTGAGACTAAGCCCGCATGCAACTTTGAAGCCGTGTTGGGCTTATGGCTTCCCATGTCGCAGCCAGGTTCCGCAAAGACCCCGCTCCACAAAGACCCTTCTTTCAGGATTCCTCACGGCAAACGTTGAGACACTCAGACATTCGACACTCAGCCCATTCAGAAATTCATGCTCTCGATTTGCCATGGAATGCGCGGATCCGTTCTTCTTTAGTCTTCGTTGAAGCACTTCCTTTCTGCGAACCGAGGGAAACCTGAAGCATCTGAGCGTCTGAGCATCTCATTGTCCGAGCGTCTGACGAGCTAATTCAAAATTAGATTAGTGGCGTGCGTTGGGGCGCGTCCGTGCGGCAACCCTAAACCCCTAAACCCCCCAAACCCCTTTTCCCTAAACCGCCTCGGAGTCCGGATCGAGACGCCACTTGTCGGCTCTTCGACCAGTAGTAGTGCCTCTGTTTTTAGTTGGAGGAATATTTCATCGAATATTTGAGGGTGTTAGCATCTGAGTGTCAGACTGCTTGGTTTGCCGGAGTTCTTCAGGGGTTTGCGAGTTCAACGCGTTTGTTGCAGGAGTTGAAGATGGTCCCCGTCCCGGACCTCAAAACTGCCTCTTGGATCAGGTCGAGCATGTTGCTTTCCCAAGGAGACATGAAGTTCCGACATTGGCTCCGTCCCTGCGTCGCTTTTGGTAGTCCCTTGCTGCTCATGTGGGAAGTCAGGTGATTGAGGAATTTCTCGAAGATTTCGGCGACAAGTCTGTTGTTTCGCGCAAGCGCAGGAAGACAGCATAAGGACACCGAAGAAAAAGCAAGCGCTGGCTCGTGCGGGGGGATACAGGGTTGGCTGAGGGTGTATGGATTCATTGTGCATGAACGAGGTTGAGTTGCATGCGGCTTTCACGTCCACATATCGAAGATATTTCGCACCAAGCGCTGTCTGCACAGCATTTTTTTGCCCATCAAGCCGGGAATTCAGGGCTCTGAGCTCCAATGAGCGAAGCACCGGCAGAAGGCCCTATTGTGGCTTTGTTGCTGTCCTTTCCCGATAAGGGTGACATTGCATGTTACACACGGAAGAGCTAAACTCTGTACCAGGGGTAGTAGTAGAAGATGGTCACGCAGGTACTGGAACAATCACCCCTTTGGGCCACTACGCTGCCACGTGCAGCACCACGCGAGTTCGAGGCAGCACGTTCGGGGGATGGGCTTGGGGCTCTATTGCAAGGCCGGCTCAACATTTGAATGCTGTAGAAGGGTTGGTGTGTTTCACCTCATTTCGCCTCCCCCCTCTTGACTTGAGCTAGCTGCTGCCCGTCGATACAGCTCTCGAGAGTTTGCTGCTTAGGTCGACGTGTGGCCGAGTGAGGGCGAGATGGACCCGCTCGGGCTCCAGCATTGCAGGGGACTGCATGGAAGGTCTGGACGAGCTTGCGCTGGCTTTCGGTTCAGGGTTTTGAGGTTGAGGAGTGCCTTGAGCGCACATTCCCAATCATCACCTCCCCCAATTCGTAGGAGCCTTCGGCCTGCTAACAATCTACGACTTGGCCAAAGGTATGCCGTGACTGTGGGTTCCTTCGAGTACCAGCTCCTGGGGCCACGAAGCCAGGCCCTGGTCGGTGCTCTCCCGCTTTTGCTCTAGTGTCCCCTTTCAAAGCCGCTGCGAGGTCTACGCGCTGAACGGCACGGCGGGCACGGCCCGGGGACCCACGTTGTTCTTGGATGCTTTCCGAGGCGCTAAACCGCTAAAGCTTTGAGAAGAAGGGGCCCCATGATAGATGTACTGCAGAGGTACGTTGTGCCGGTTGGGGGCAGCTGGGTTTGCCTCACCCGTACTTGTAGCATAAGCATCTTGAAGTTCTTAAAGAGCCCTCTAATCACGGAAGCTCTGCCCCATCTGTCGAAGTCGACAGTGTAGGTTCTTTGAAACACAGCGCATGCCAAGGCCCTTAGCCGAGTGAGAGGTCTCCGAATCCGCGTGGAGAGCAACTGGGGCGAGGTGATCCGAAGCGGAAGCTGAGGGGTTTGGGGAGTTGAGGTTTCGTGTTTCGGAGCTTGTGCTGAACGATTTCAGCTTCGCTCCCGATTTTATTGGCTCAGATAATCCATTGAATGTCCAGCAGGGTCACCAGGTAGATGATCCTTGGAAAGAGCGCAACTTCAGATGCTTTTTGTGGGGAGGTGTGAGGCCCGAGGTGTCGTTAATGAACACATTGGACATTGACATGGAGTCCAAGGCTAAAGGGGTTAAGGCTTTAGGGGCTTAAGGCAAGTGATGCATACTGTGATGCGTACTATCTTTGACCAGGGCTCGGGGGTTTTCTGCCACCATTTAGCAGTGGAGACTCGATCCTGACACGTACTGAAGTGTGGGCAACTTCGGGCAACGAGCCGTAGAAGCTTTCTGGTGCGCATGCCAGGACCGCACGCTGTTGTGCCGCGTACGAGTCTTTGGAGCCCATGATGCTGAGTGAACTTTGGGCCGCAGCATCTCGAGGTCACCACTGGCAAGTTGCGAGATTTTAGGGGGTTGTTTGCTGAGTTCCCGTGCTCCTTGAATATGGAGCACGCCCTGCAGCAAAGGTTGTGAAGCGCGAAGTGTTCTCTGATTCAGAGCCCTGCCATGCTGAAACAGTGTAGGGTGCATGCCTTGATTCTTTTCACTTGGTTGATGAAATGGCAGCGCTCTGGATCTCTGCATGTGTATGTGAGACCGGAAGTTACCAGCCAAGATCACGTGCATACAAATGTGCTCAATCATATCATGATTGTTGACATGGAGTTGCTGGTGACATGCTGCCACCCGGTCCTTTGAATCTCCAAAGTTGCAAGTGCCCCACCAACGCTGTTCTCATGTAGGGCTCGCGAGCCACAGTACTCACGAACTTCTCAGCTTCAGGACGGTGCACTTATGTACTTGGGATGCCGTGGGTCAGACTTTGCTGTCGTCCGTGTCTGAATTCAAGACTTGGCAGCCGAAGGTCACGAACCAGGATGGCCCGTGCGACGCGAAGTGCAAACTTTGCGCAAAACCTTGCCGACAGCCCTCGAGTCGGGTTTGGGGTGATGGGTGGCCTGAGTTCAGCATCAGGATCTTCAGAGACCTGTCAACTCAGTTCAAGCTCGCTTCTCAACTTCTGTACCTGCGTGTGTGTCTGTGGGATTGCTGGTGTGTGCGTGCATCATCATTGAAGCTGATCAGCTTCATGCTGCGGTACGCCTTCTGGGCTCTCAGTGCATTCCTGGTATGATGGCTCCCTCACCAAAGCAACTGTCATGCAAGTACAGTCCTAGACCCTAAATGCCAACACCACTACTGTCAAGCTTCAATCCCCCAAAATTCAAAAACCCTAAGTCCACACTCCACACTTAAATTCCGCACAGCTGCTGGGATGCGTGGATCTTGACCTCTGAGACCCCCCCTCACCAGTATCTGAGAGGGCCAGGCCCCCCCCCCTCCCTCCCCGAAATGCTGAAACCTTTCTTTCCCACGCCCTGAACCCCTTGGAAACCCCTAAGCCCCTAGGTCCTAAAGCCAAACAACCCGAGCCATGAGCTTCCTCTGCAAGCGGAGCAGGGACCATGAGTTCGAGCTCAAGGCCCGTCTGGTGCAGGGGGTTTTGCCTGAACGGTGCTTTGATGGGAGTTGAGGGTTTAGGGGTGTTAGAGCCCGCCTGTCTCCTTAGCAGGGTATCCAAGTAGAATCAAGATCGTGAGTGTTTGGTGTGCGAACGTTGCGCATCCTTTGCAGATTGAGCAGCTGGAGCGTGACACGGCACCTTGGCTGTCACGGGCGGATCATGAATATCGCTGGTTGCAATCCCGGTACTTATTCGGGGATTTTCCCGAGTTAGGGGCCCCATTGATATACCAACAAAAAACAAGATAATCCTGATTAGTATAATCCCCTTTTTTTTTTTTTTTCTAGCGTAGCCGTGTCATGGGAAACCACCCCATCTTGGTACGGCACAGTGTTTGTGAGGGGTCTGTGGAGCTGATGGGTGAGGTTCCTTGTCGAAACGTCCGGGGAAGAGCATTCTAGGCTCTGATGGAGAAAAGCCATGCACCAATGCTCTCTGAGAGAACGGGCCTGTTTCCTAGTAAGAACCGACTCGGAAGTCTGTAACCTCGGCTTCCTTAAGGGTACCGAATTCCGCATAAAACCAGCAAGAGAGGTGGAGAAGTTGTCAACCCTAAACCTTAAACGCCTTAAACCCTGCGTGAGCCAAGGCAACGCTTCGCGAGGACTTGACGAACCTGTTCTCCAGGCAAGCCGCCGCAGACTTAACCCTGTGTTAGGGACAATTTACTTACAGACCTGACCACTTGAATCCCTGAACCCTTCAAGGCTTCAGGGTTGTCGCCGGGTTCTTGGTGACCTGGCGCGAACTCATCGATATCGCGTGCTCCTTCTGCGCCCGCGACTTCCAACAGTTAAAGCACCATCCCGAACTCTAGGCCCTGAACCGTAAACCCTGACCATAAACCTGAAACACCCCAGACCTGTGAGGCTGGCCAAGACATGCACTGCGATCGAGGAGAAAAACTCAGCCCAGGCTCTGCCTAAGCCCTACTCCGGACAAAGCCCACACGAACTGCCCTCAAGCCTTAGAGAATTTCAGTTAAATGAGGCGTGTGTTTCCGGGTTTAAGGTTCAGGGTTTCGGGCTTCAGTTAGAATCTCAAAGGCTTGCCCACATGCAGATGTTTCAGGCGATGGACCTCATGTTCGTCCAGGCAACCACGGAGACGCTCGAAGATTTGACAGGCACACGCAGCGACCTCTAAAAGGTTTGATCGTCCGGATTCATTCTAGACTGCTAGACTGTGTAGTAATCACAGTGATAATAGTAATACAAAAAACTGTTGTAATCATAGTCATAACACAAAAAATAGAGAGACATCATAGTACTCCTAGTCATAGTAGTCACAATCGTAATCCTCGTAGAAACCGCAATAATCGAAATGATCGTAGCATTCGAAATTTTTACGCTGCGCGACCCGGCAGCGGCGAGGCAACCCCAACCACGGGTGTGAAGGTGCTGTAGGCTTCAGGGATTTGAGAGGCTTCGTGCAATCAGGCTCTTTTGTGCAATCTGTCCTTTGTGGGCACGCAGGCTTATGTATAGACCCAATGTGAGTGGTAGGCGGGTGCCAACACTAATATCTGTCGTCAGGTTGTGGGGTCCCTTTTGGAGTCCCCCTTGAGCACTCCTTGTTACGTTCACAGTAGACGCATGTTTTAGAGCTCAAAGCACTCCCACAACAGTGAGCCACGTTCACTCAAACCCTAAGCCCTAAGCCCTTCCAACCCTAAACTCTTCAGAACCCTGCAAACCCTTCAAAACTTTCAGTCCCTAAACGCTAAACCCTCTAGGGCCGCACCCCGCTCCCCCCCAACTAGCCCACCCGAAGAACCCTAAACCGTAAGAACCCTAAACCGAAAGAAGCCTAAACCCTGAAAACCCCAAACCCTAAGAACCAAAAACGCTCTACTATCATCTTTGTCGCTTTGCGCTGTGTTACTCTTTTTGGTCTTTCTTTCTTTCTTTCTTTCTTTCTTTCTTTCTTTCTTTCTTTCTTTCTTCTGCCTTATGCGTTTCAAGGGATCGTCGTTTTCTGCTGTTTCCGGCGCTTTTGTTGGTTGTGTTCTGCTGCTGTGCGTTCTTGTTCTTGCATTTTGCTTTGGCGTCGCTTGCTACTTGTTTGGTTGTTTCTGCTGCAGACCAGGTTCTAACATGCCGTCTGTTATTGGAGATCTTGCAGCTTTGGCAAAGTGCCCAACCATCTGCCAAACCCTGCCGAAGCCAGCTACAGTCCTCACCGCCTGTGTCATGGGCATCGTTGGAAATCCCATCTTGAGTAGTTTAGGGTTTCGGGTTTAGGGTTTAGGGAGTATCACAGAGCCGTAAGAAGTTTCATTACATTACTCTGGACTCTTGTTCTTTGACGACCCCTGGGAGGAGTGTCTGCTGCAGATATTCAAGTGTCTTCATTCGCACTTGATAGCAAGCTGCTGCTAGCAAAGTCGCAGAGACCAAGGTGTCTCCAGCCAGGAGACATCATTCTAAACCAAGACCCAATCACGGCAGCTTGTCCAAGCCTACGGACCACGCTTTCCCAGCTGAACATGCCTAGTTTCCTTTCCGGCAAAACATGACGCCTTGACTGTGTGCGTGATTGTGACATTGTGTGTGTGCAACCCTGTATCGAAGGGCAGTATCCAAATTTTGACTGCAATGGTGAGAGCACGCATGTGGAAAAGCAAATCTGGAGTCATGCCAGCCCGGAGTATTCCTGTCAAGGTTTGAGAGTTGGCATCTGAAGAGTATGACTTTTGAAAAACCTGGCAGTGAACCTCCGACGAAACTCCAGTAGCACTGTTGAAGCGCGGACCTTAGACAATGTGCGAACTGAGGATCTGATCGGTCTGTATGCAAGTGCGATTGCGGCGTTATGTTTCGTTGGTGGCCGTTCCGCTGCTACTAAGGTGGGGGTCCGAGTCTGTTTCGCTCCGGCTTGATGATTGAGTCCGCTGCTATACCAGAGATTCACCAATGATTAACCCTCGTGGTTTCAACAACTGTGTGTCTGTGACTGATGGACTGACTTACTCACTTTTTGCCTGTACTCTAGTTCGCTTTGAACTTCATCTCACCGCTGTCCTTATAGCAAGGTAGAACATCGTAGAATATAGTGAAAAGTTCAAAACCAGATAGGCCGCCTGGAGCAATTGGAGCTGGCACGGGAGGAGAGTGTCGGCCGCCAGAACCAGGCGAAGCCCGTGTCGGGGTATTCGGGGAGAACTGTTTAGGGTTGGTTGACAAGCGTGCTATAGAGGGTTCATCAGCAGCGGTCCCGGTCAGGGAAAGTGGTATTAGCATGCCTTGATTTTGGCTCCAACTGCTTTTTTCATGACCCGACATGCAGCCGACTAAATCATCTCGGCCATGGCCATAGAGAAGAATTGAGACGGAAGTCTCGCGAACCGTGAAGTCTTCAAGAAGGGTCGCTGTATTCATCACCATGTAGCTTTCAGACACGTGTGACAGAAAGTTCGCATCTGGTGCAAAGTTGGCTGGCACTGTGGAGAGGTTCTGAAGTCCTTCGGGCGAGACCTGCAGCACCTGGCGTCAAGGAGTGGGTAGACAGGAAGTAGCAGTCAGCACCAGCAGGCCCACAGAAATCTGGTGACGACCCTTTAAGATTTGAGACACTTGGTTTGTGTCTCTTCCTGGGATGCTGTTTGGCTGCTCATGCACTACAGATTTGTCTTGGTAACCATGCTTCAGCTAAAGCCCAACTCAAGCACTGCTGCTGGATGCAATTGGTACATGGTGGTGCGTGTGGAATCTGTACATGATAGCCCTGGCTAACACAGGAGCCACTTGAAGGTTCTTGACATTGAGGGCAGTTAGGATCGACCTGTTTTAGGTCTGCGGGGGTTGGGCTACTTGGCAAGGCGGAGGTAGCCGTTTTTCCCAACGGACTCAGCGCATCCCGCGGTCTGTGTTTCTAGGGTGGCCGTGCAGGCTGGACGGCCATGATGCACGGAGTGCGGCCAGCAAGGTGACGGGTTGGGAGATGGGATGTGAGTGCATGTCTTCGCGGTCGCTGTCTTCTTGGGCTAAAGCCTCTGACCCACAATTCGGCGCTGGCTTCGTGACATTCGGGTGTGATTTGAGACCCAGACAGTTAAGGTGTGCTTCAGAAACCTTAACGTTTCGGCAGGCGATGGCAGACAAAGTGACCTCTTCCCACGAGGTGCTGCTGAGGAAACATTGAAGTGCAGTTCGTGCATGGCATCCATCATCACCATCATCATCGCCGTTGTGACTGTGCCATGATGCCAATCTCTGTGGGAAGTAGCAGATAAACCACATCCAAAATGAGATGCTGTTAGAGCAGCAGAAAATAAGTGAGCCAGCATTTGTGCGCACGAGTGCACTTTCAGCATCTTTCAGCTATATTCGGACAATGCATGGATGTTTCCCGTTCCACTATGTTAAGTTGCCGCTGAGAAGGGCAACAGGACTCTTACGTGGCAGCGTTGCGTGGCAGCGTTGTCCCGGTCACTTTTTCTCAAGTTAGCACCTAGACAGGGCCAGAGTCCCCCCCCCTCTCCCCACTCGTGCACCGCATGAGATTTCTGCCCCAAGGACTGAACAGTTGATTGGTGGTGGCACGACACTGCTTGTGAAACCTCTCGAGTGTGAGCCTTTTTCGACGGCGCAAGCCCTAATCTCCCTGTCACCTTCAGCTGCCTGGGGGTTCGTCGGCCCCGTAGGAGTACCCCAGCTCCCTGACAGAGCCCCAACCCTACACACGCCCCCAACCCGAAACCCTAAACCCAAAAGCCAAACCAGCGAGTGCACCGACAGCCGGCCTTAACCATCCAACCCTATACCTGAAATCTGAAACCCCAGCATGGAATCAGGTGTTCCGCAGCGAGATTGAGCAGCGCTTCGAGGTGATGGCGCAGCGCCTGGAGGCAGGGCTTTTACAAGTTCTTAGTCTTCGTGAATCAGGGAATTTCGGGCCCTCATGTCCCTTAAATCGGCCCGGTATGTTGAGGGCTCGGTGCTACTAGGGTTGAAAGTGTGCTGAATTGCTCATCAGAGGGTGTAGGAGCCTTCCGCCACATGCTTGCAGAAGCAAAAATAGGGTCGGTCTGGGGTCGAGACTGTCTTCGTGCGCATGTCGTTTTCGTGTGCTCAAGCGTCGTATGTGACAACCATCTCAACGGTCACAGGGATCGGGCTGCCGGGGTCGCCACTGTTCGTGTGGCCGTTTATTGGATCCTGGCTTCGTAGCTCAGTTTTCTCCTCGGCACGTTCGCTTCACTCGGCTTCAGGCTTCTCCCCTCAATAGCTGCAGGGTCGGAGGGATCATCGCTCGGGCATGTATTCCTGGTCTGTACTGCAGGAGGTGCGTGCTGCTTCGGATGAAATCAGAGAGACGCAGCAGGCTGCGGTTGTGGATAGGCAGCTTTCGAGTCTGTACCGCAAATTTGCGATTTGTAGCCCTCAGCTCTTGATGGCCCTGGCTTTTAGAGGACTGGGCGGTTGGAGCAGTTCTTTTCGCAAAGTATTTCTGCTCTGTCCTCTTGTTGTCTGCACCAGAGGATTTGTGTTGAGAACTCAGGTTCTGTTGATTCAGCTTTGGAGGGGAGGGAGCGCGGCAGCTTCGTGCCTTCTACGAGACCCGACTGAGTGGGAAAAGGCCTATGCATGCTGCTTCAGGTGGTGTCCGAGCAATGTGCAGAGGATCTCAATGAGTTGCCGCCCGGCCGCCACATCTCGCTTCCCTGGGACTTATTCTTTACTTGGGGGTCTTCTCTTCACAACGTAGTGCCTCGGCCGCCTGCAGTCTTTCACTGGCTCCGTGCGAAATCTGCTGTCTGATCAGGCAGCAGGCGGCCAAGGCCCAGGCAACGCAGCAGGAAGAGGAGCTCCCGACTTGCTTGAACGAAGAGAAGAAACAACTGTAATTTTATTAGTAATTGTACGGGCGCTACAAAATAAGAAAGAGAAGAAAGCGCCCCACTTCGTTCATACAATTACTGCGTTCACTGCACGTATTCGTTCACTTATAATTGTATTCTCTTCGGAATAATACTATTATTCTGTAGGCGCGAGCATAATATAAGTCCGTGAGCTCGCGATAATAAATAGAAAGTGTGCCGTGCGAACGTAATGAATGAATGCACGGCGTAAACACTATTAGTATTATGCGGGCTCACATTTTATCTTATTTTAAGCCCGCACGAAGTAAACTCACTACTTTTAATGTTTCGTTTCGCTCATTCGTTCATTGCACGCGTCTTTCACTACGTTGTCTCCTTGTCAACTGGGTCAAGTGAAACAAAAAACATCTCCCGTGATGAGCCGAAGATGAGTTCCTGAGCAGGCTTCTGGGTAGTAGGGTCCGGCTGACATTTTGTGTGATCGTCGAGGGCAATACAGGGGCTCCTTCGGAGACTTCAGGACGCATGTTTGCAGCACGAGCCAGGATCTACAAAGATGGCACACGACTTTCTCGCAGCAGCTTCTCGAGTGGTTGCCTCAGCTGTTTCTGGTGCTCGATGACAGGGGCAGTTTCGATGGGCAAGTCTTGTCCTGCTTTTATCCGCCCGGGGCACACATGGTTGCAGCAGCAGAATTTCCTCAATCTCAGCAGCTTGGGCCAAAGATGCCCTTTTGGAAGCTGGACTGCAGAAATGCCACATCCACTTGAGTAGCACTTAAGTGCCAGGCTTTAAGATTCTTTAAGCACATTCAGGGCTAACCGCTCAGTTCAAATGTGCTGTACTGAGTGTATGCAAAGGAGAACGCACTCTAGTGACATCACGTGCTGCGCCTGGAGCGCCACGGCAGCGGAGATGGGCAAAGGCAAAGGCAAGGGCAAAGGCAAGAAGAGCGAGGACGGACGCAGAGCCGAAAGTTCTTGCAGCAGTTTCTTCATGCAAGGCCAACAGTCGCACAGCTCGACACCTTGTAAGCCTTGCGAGGACGATGACATCCAGTGCGCGCTGGTTGAGTGCCACCGACCGAACTTGTGGAAAATGAGATGGCTCCATTAAGATTTTTTTGTAGGTTGCGGTTGCAGCCATCGTCTTCAACGGAACCAGCCCAAAACCCTGACAAAGCAGCAAAAAACAGCACAAACAACAGTAGCTGAGCACATGCAGGTACGTCCGCGGCATCCGGGCCCGAAAGTGGACCCTCCAGTTGGGCCAGACCTACGACGTGGGTCGCGCAGGTGACTTCACCCTGCGCCTGCCTCCCTAAGCCCTAAACCGCCAAAGCTGCCTAAGTCCTAGGCTGCCTCAGGGTTGATGGGACCTGGCGGTTCGGGGTTGAGGGGGGTCCAAGGGTTAAGCTTGGGGTGGGCATCGGTCTTCCGGAATTTTCTGGCTTGAAGAGCGTAGTGTAGGTTTTACTAGCCCCGAAACCCTAAGGGCGCCTCAGGTGGCTGCGTGGATGTGGAGATCGATCACCCCTCGCTCTCACGCAAGCACTGCACCATCGCCTCACGGCATCCATGTAGTGGTTGTGGGTCACTACCTTTATTCCAGGCGGTAAAAACTCATGCAGGTGGCCAGCTAGCTTCAGATCCTCAGGATACAGTAAAGGCAACGCCTCAAGCCTGCCATCCTGTTATCTTTGGCTCGCTGGGCAGTTCTCCAGTTCGTGGCCTTATAGGTGATCTCCCCCCAAAAAGGGACCAGAATCAGAGAACTGGCCCACTGGAATGAGGCAATTACCCAAGTGGACTCGGAACTCATCCTCGTGGCCCTGGACCATGGCTCCACAAACGGAACCTTCATCAACAAGTCGAGACTGGAGAAGGACCATCTGGGCTCTTGGGTCCCAAGCTCCAAAGCCTTAAAGTCTTTTGGGGTTTTGGACCCCGGTATATTAAGCTTCGTGAAGCCTTGGAGGGCGAGGGCGTGAAGATGAAGGTAGCGGACGTGAAGCACATGGTCTTCGGAGAGTGTGACCTGGACCGAAGGGCGGTTTTGGGTTCAGGGTTACTCTTGTGACACCTCTTGGAGATGTGAGATGTCTTGGAAGAGATGATGGCAAGATGTCCAGGCATGCGAGCCGAACATGCCCAGGTCAGAATGGGTACAAGTTTCTTGTGAAGGACCAAGAGGCACGCTGGGGGTGATGTTCTTCTGTTCAAGGACAAGTGTATGCGGAGGGGCACGAGGTGCTCTTGCTGTGTGCCCGAAAATTCGCGGGCCAGCCAGAAGCTAGAATTTACATCTTAAGGCCTGAATGAAGCGAACAGAGTGAGCACAGGCAAGTCGTTTGAAAAGGATTCCTATTAGTTTAGGTTCATATTCATTTAGTAGGACTCCTATTAGTTCTTGTTAAAGGAATCTTATTCTTTCATAGGAGCCCTATTACTTCCTATTAATCTTAGTAAGAACCCTTCTCAGTCTAGTAGGAGTCCTATGAAGTACCAAGCGTTGTTTTTGATTTGTTAAGGGTTCCTTTTCATTCTAATCGGCTTCCTACTAGCGTTTATCCGAACAAAATTTGACAGGACTCGTATGAATTCAATGAAAGGTTCCTACTGATTATCATAGGATTCCAATAAAGTTTCATAGGGTTCCTTATTTATTTTTCATAAGGCTTTTACTCATGCAACAAGGTTCGTATCAATTTCAGGGCTCTTACTCATGTTAATGGGATGCGTATTCATGTTTAATAGGGATCTCATTCATTTGAAAGGGATTCCTATTGGTTTAGGCTCATATTAATTTTAGTAAAATTCCTATTATTTAAGGGTTCACACTTTTTATAGGAGTCCCATTGGTACACCTGGAAGGCCTGAAGTGCTGTACTGTCCCAATCTTTTAGGGACAGTGAAGCAAAAACACCGTACTGTCCCAAAAAACTCAAAAAAAAAACTTTTGAGAATCTCCAGCTCAAAGATTGGGACAGTACAGCATTTTTGCATGACTCGACCCAAAAACATTGGGACAGTACAGCGTTTTCTGCACCTGGAGGGCCTGAAGTGCTGTACTGTCCCAATCTTTTGGAGACAGAGAAGCAAAAACACCGTACTGTCCCAATCTTTGACCTGGAGACCCTGAAAAGAGTTTTTTTTTGAGTTTTTTGGGACAGTACAGCGTTGTTGCATGCCTGGACCCAAAAAACATTCGGACAGTACAGCGTTTTCGACACCTGGAGTGCCTGAAGTGCTGTACTGTCCCAATCTTTTAGGCTCAGAGGAGCAAAAGCGCTGTACTGTCCCAAAAAATTACAAAAAAACAATCTTTTCAGGTCTCCAGGTCAAAGATTGGGACAGTACAGCATTTTTGCATGCCTGGACTCAAAAACATTGGGACAGTACAGCGTTTTCTGCACCTGGAAGGCCTGAAGTGCTGTGAAATACTGAGTTTTTCCCAAATTTACAACAATCTTAGGGAGCAGGGCTTGGGCTCACCAGATTACAAATCCCAAGCGTACTCGCTGTTGGGGAACTATAGGAACCAAAACTTGCTATGCGCGCATGCACACACATCTTTTGGCACGCAAAGATTCCGCCGGCGTGACAATCTCGGCTGTCTGTCGCGGTCTTGTGACTCAACTGCTGCGTTTGATGCGAGCACACATGGATCTCATTCTGTTCGCACAAACATCGTGTGTATTTTCAATATATTCATGTCAAGATACTGCTGCATTCGCTGTTGCGCTCTCCGTGCCGCGTGCTGCGTCCGGCGTGACACACTCCGGCGCGAGAAGCAAGACGGAGATCTATGGACTGTCGTCCAATGATGCCAGTCGCCAAAAGCAAGCCGATGATGGCACCTTGTTGGCAACGAGAAGCAGCTCCTTAGTGGGCGAGATCATCCTCGCGCAGAGGAGGCGAAAAGTTCCGGAAGCCGGATCATTGGAAAATCCTCCGGGCACGGAGGGAGGCCCTGATGGTCCCATGTGGCTTTTGCCAGAGGTGCTGGCCTTCATGAAGGACTTGAACACCCAGAACGCCTCCTTCAACACGTGCGCGCACCAGAAAGGCCCCAGGACTAAGTAAAGTGGTTCAAGCCGTTCGTGGGCAGGCTCGATGGCATTCAGTCCCTTAGCAAAACTTGTGATTGCTGCGCTGGCTGCCGGCATCAGTCGTTGGTGGGAAAAGCGCTCACAGAGAGTGCGGCGGAATATCCAAGAGACCTTTGTAAGGCCTACGCTGTCCTCGTGGTCAAGGCCTGGAAGCTCACGCTTGAACTGGAATGGTGGCGACGCGCACTTGCGAACAAAAGTTCGGAGGTGGCCGCCTTGCAGGTCAAGCTGCTGGAGTCCAAGGAGAAGAAGCAACGCATGAACGCGAGTCCCATGTCCTTCTCCTTGAAGCGATCCTGCTCACTGGCAGAAAGCTTTGAACACAAAGGCCCCGACAGCAAGCTGTCCAAGAAGGGCCTCCGGGAGGAGCAGAACGAGTTAGCTGTGGGAGGCGCGCGCAACCCATGGTCGGCTGTCCGAAGGCTTTCAAAGGTGGCTGAAGTGGGCAGAGATTGCTCCGCACTTTGGCGACGCTTTGCCAAGAAGAATCCGGAGGTCCTCCAGGTGGCCAAAGACTATGGCGGCAAAGGCTGAGACGAACCTGGTGGAAGCTTGGAAGGAGGAACTGACCAACCTCTTGCACGCTCGCGCCTCGGAAGCAATCCTCAAGGAGAAGATTGAGTTCAAGAGCCCATTGAACGCAAATTCGTGGGAAGCCTGGCAACGTGCTTCATCTGACCCGGAGATGTTTGTTTCGGCCTGGGCAAGACATGGAGCTCCACTTGGAATGAGTTCGGACATCCCGACCTGTGGCATTTTCCCTAGAGCGCGGGACGTTCTACAGGCGCCTGCCTCAGAAGAGGCTCCCACTTTGGAATGGAGGTCTCGCTTCAAGAACCATTCTTCGATGGAAGCCGATCCGGAAGGTGCTGCTATGGAACTTGGCCGGTACCTGGACAAAGGCTTTGCCAAAAGATTGGCGAAGGCAGATGCCCAGCAGCGTTTTGGCAGTGGCACCGTCAGCAAGTTGGCTCTCACCACCAAGGAGAAGGGCGATGGTTCCATCAAACGTCGCATCATCATCGACTTGCTTCGCAGTGGGGGCAATGCTCGAGCTCGAGTGCCCGAAAGGCTTGTGCTGCCGAGATGCACGGACATGATTGAGTCCATGCGTCGCCTGTGGCGCTTAAAGGAGGTGCGCGTGGCCGAGCACGACCCCTTGGACGACCCCCCCGACGATGACTATGACGACGATGATGAGGGCATCGAGCTGGTGGGGGCCGACCTGGCGGATGCGTGCTGTCACTTCGGGGTTGCAAACGAGGAGCTCAAAAACTGTCTGGCTCCGGCTCTGGAGGAGGATGAAATACTTGTCTTCTGTGCGATGCTGTTCGGCTTCAAAGGCGCCCCGCTGATCATGGGAAGACTGGCTGCGGCTTTGGCGAGGCTGTGGCAGGCCATGATCATGCGGGATGGAGAGCTGCAGCTTTACATGGACGACCCGCTGTCTCTACACGGCAGCCGCCGTGGGCATCGAGCTCGCCTTTCACAAGGGCGAACGTGGCCTCCGCCTTTGCTGGGTCGGGGTACAGCTCGAGATCGCCTGCGATAAGTCCCTCTTGCTGCTCACAGTCCCCGAGAAAGTCGTCAACGAGCTCCCGGAGAAGCTGCGGGGCTGGCGCGGCAAGGGAATGATCCCCTTCAGAGATTTGAGATCAACGACTGGAAGGCTCTCGTGGATAGCTGGCATCGTCCCTCGAATCCGTTGGGTGGTGTCGATCCTGTACGCCGCAGTCAGCTCCGGGGAGGCAGACGAGAGGAAGGGCTTGGAGGCCATCCGGGCTTTAGAAAGAGTCGACAAGCGTCCCAAGGTGGGACTCGTTCCTGTGAGGCGCGTGGAACTTCCTCGTGCTTGGCTTCAGGCATTTTTGGAGCACGCTCGTGTTTGGCTCGTTCGCAGAGAGCCTTTGCTCAAGCAACGCCCCGACTTCCTCATAGTGCCTGATGCCAGTCCATGGGGCATGGGCGCCATTTTGGCATCCGCAGATTCAACGCTGAAGTGGTTCGAACCCATGGTGGCTCTCAAAGCAATTGTGGAAGAGAACCTCGCCAAGTTCCTGGGCATCCCTTTCGGAGAGTCTGGGTCACAAGGCCCGCTGGAAGCTCTGGCGCTGGTCTTGGCTCTGCACACGTGGCGGGACAAGCTGAGGGGTTCCTTCGTGCTGATTCGAAGTGATTCAGTGGTTGCTTTGGCCATGGTTAAGAAGCTGGCGGCGGGATCGCCTGCGCTCAACTATCTAGGCGCCTGCCTCGCGTGGGACCTTGAGCTCGGCGGCATCCATGGCCTTGTTGGAAACCACGTGGCAGGCGCTCTCAACGAGGAGGCCGATTGGTTGTCTAGACCTGCAAAGCAGCAGACTGTATCGACCCCAGAAGTTTTGTTAAGCCTGAAGATCAAGGACGTGAAGACCGATTTGCAAGCTTGGTTTCCTTTTCCTAGCCCTGCGTCAGAAGCCAGCTTGTGGGGCCTGAGCACGGAAGGAGTACACTGCGTGTACAATCACCTGTGAAAAGGTGGATGGCCGCGGCTAGAGCTGTGGGGTTACCGTCTGCTTAAATTCTCACAGGTTAGAGTCAGACACATGTCACAAGTTTTCGGTTACATGTTCACGATACTCCTGTCGCAGTCACTGTCCTCTCAGGTCCAGTCGAACGCATGCCGCATGCCTGTCACTCACTCGTTTGCTTGTTTTGACTGTTGTTTGTGCTGTTTGCTATTTGGGAGGTGGTAGCTTAGTGCCCCAAAAACAAACCGGCCGGCCGTGCTGGTCACAAATGGCTGGCAGCAGTCGGCGTGCCGCCACTCTGCTGCTGTTGGGCGCTGGCGCTGCCGGCGTTTGGCTTGATCCTATGTGCGCGGCTAGCCATGATGGGTAGCCGCAGGGCGCTCAAGTGGAAGTTTTCGAGGGCATGGGGCTGTTCTTCAACACCAGAAGGTGGGCAAGGGCTGCAGGAAGCGCTCCGCAAACAATAGGCGCCTCAGTGGCATCTTGCAAAGTAGACGTCCCTTCAAGAACATTGAGTCCAAGGACGGGAAAGATGACGAGGGCTTCAGGAGACAATGTGCTCTCTGCTCAAATGCTGGGTGGCACGGCAGCTCATCTTTCAGCTCTGTGCAACCTGCTACAGCCCTTCCACAGCACTTGGTGAAAGATGGTCCGGCGGCTCTTCGAAGAGGGGTCTGGGGCAGCAGCGGGCGGAGAAGGAGGTCGTTAAATGCAAGTGGTTTGGGGGTCTGAACGACAAGGACTTGGCGAAGCAAATCGGCGCGGTGAAGGTCACATGTTGGAGCAGGTCGTTCTGGACTTCAAGCACGAGCCTGAGTACCGTGCTGCGGTCAAACGCTTTTGCTACGTCCTCAAGCCTTCATCTATGCGAAGCACCGAAGAGCTATGACGGCCACAAGACTGAAAGGCCGGAGGGGGTGGACGCGAAGGAGACGAACAAGGTGGGCTCCTTCAAGATGGCGATGGCGGTGGCCAAGGACGGCAAACGACGCGAGATGGCAGTGGAGGAGTTGAAGAGGGGTTTCTGCGCAGAATCGAATAGAGACGCCCAGCACTCCAAGCGCAAGCTCTCCTCTTACCGAGAATGTCGTCTTGGGCGTGGCGGCATCGCTGAAAGCGGCTGGCTTAAAGTCGGCCGGAGCACGAATCAATGAGCTCAAGCTTATCGAACAAGGACACCAAGTGTCGGATTGGTTGACAAGGTTGCTGTGGCTGACCAAGAGGTCTCTTTCTCGCGGTGTAGGTCCCGTGAAAAGGGCTCCGGAGCTGAAGTTGGGCGAGGTGGAAGTTTCAAAATGGAATTGCAAAGCACATGCGGGAATCTCAAATCCGGCGCTGGCTTTCGCCTGGGCAACCATCTGGATGCTGAGGTGCGCGGAGCTGGTGGTGGTCAAGTGGGCGCACGTTTCCGTGGATGCCCGCGCGAAGACAGTCACCCTCAAGATCCCATTGTCCAAAATGGATCAATCTGAGGCGCACCTTGGGCTGCTGCGGCCAAAGGAAGTGCGGCTGGTCTTGCGCTTGGAAAGTCTGGTCGGAGCTTGCAAAGAGAAGATCTTCATCAATGGAGTTTGTTTTCGTGCAAAATGGCACGGACCCCAAGAACACGGGCAAGATGGCTTTTTTGGGGAGATGGAAATCAAACACCGTGCTGATCTACGCGGAAGAGGCGCTGGAGGAGATCCCGGCAAATCAACGGCTGCTCCCTGGCACAACGAGGCTCTCCTGTTGGAAAGCCCCAAAAAGGCTCCGAGGACGCGCGGACATGGGAGATGACGTCCCGATACCTATGACGCCTCATTCCACCTCGCCTTCCTGTCTGCCTTTGCCACCTACGCCCTCGAAGGTGGTCGACGAGCAGCAAGGATCGAAAGACGCAGCCATAGTTTCCTGCTTGACTTTTGACAGGCCGAGGGAGCTATGGGTTTACTCAATCCGTGACAACAGAAAAGATCCAACTCTCCATTTGGTGGCAGCAGCTGGATGGGAGATGCCCATGAGTGAGTGGAAAACAGGCCCAGAAACAAGGCCGAGGCGGCCTTTTCTTACACGCGTAACCTCACAAGAAAGAAATGCAGAAAGTGCATTCTCAACAAAAGTAAACGCGACGGTGTCAGTGAGGTTGACATTGGGCGTTTACGTGCTAGCTCCTTTGCTGGCGCTCTTGTGCAGAACGGCATGCGTCCAGCATCAGAATATGAAGCTGCGCCACCGACTTTGAAAAGTGCGTCAAGGGCGGAGGGTTGGGAAGTGATGTGCAGTTGAGTTTGCCTGAAGCGAACAGAGTGAGCACAGGCAAGCACGAAACTGCGAATTGGGCAGGGGGGAGGGACATGTCTGAAGCAGAGCCGCTTTGAAGAAGCAGCTGTTTGCCTCAAGGGCATGCTGCTGAAAAGGGCTCTGCTGCCCAAAATTTTTCTCCCACCCACCCAGCCCGGGGTTGACATTGGGCGTTTACGTGCTAGCTCCTTTGCTGGCGCTCTTGTGCAGAACGGCATGCATCCAGCATCAGAATATGAAGCTGCGCCACCGACTTTGAAAAGTGAGTCAAGGGCGGAGGGTTGGGAAGTGATGTGCAGTTGAGTTTGCCCCTCTACTTCCCCCACACATTCTTTCCCCCAAATGCCCCCGCACAAAACTACAGAAGCCTCCAAGGCCCCCCAGGCCCTGCAACCCTGAACCCCCGAGCCATAACTGAGAATTCTTCCACAATGACAGGCCAGCTCCCTCTTGGCCGAGGAGGAGCCGATGCCAGCAGCCCCCAAAGAGTTGGACGAGGCTTCGTCTTAAGCGTTTGCTGAGGTTTAGAGTTTGGTTTATGCAAGGTCTATTTAAGATGGCTTCTTTGTTGGTTTATTCGGGTTGGGGTTTATGTTGGGGTTTTTCGGGGTTTTGAGGGCCCAGCTGTTGACCCCTGTACAAGTAAACCCCCCAAGTCCCCAAGCACTAAATAAACTCTAAACGCGAAAATGCATTCAAGCCCTAAATTCGTTAAGCTTCCAGAAAACGCCTTCATCAAGCCCGAAGAGGCACCAAGGCCCTTAAGGCCAGACCTTAAGGCCCTCAAAAACCCTCAGACCCTACATAAGACACCCGAAGACCTTTAAGACCCTGCTCAGCGCGAGCGCCACGTCGACGCTTGGGCACGGGGCCCCGACGCCGGGAAGGCGCCACAAAAGCCACAAAAGCGAACCTCGGCTGATTTGGCTCAGGGGTTCTGTGGCTTTTGGGGCTTTTAGGGAGTTTGGGTTTTTAGGGGTTTGGGGTTCCTGGGTTGTTTTAGGTTTTTTGGGCTTTAAGGGTTGTTAAAGGTTTCGGAGGTTCGCGGTTTTAGGTCATTAGGGTCATTATGGGTTTTTTGCAACGTTGTTGGGGTCGTTCGGGTTTTAGGACTTTGGTCTGTATGGTCTTTAAGGTTTTTATGGGCTCTTCAGGGCCTTTAGGGCCTTTAGGGATAAGCACTCGGCTCCTAAACCGCAATTCTGAGCATGGTTGCTTTCGGCTTTCGTGCCCAGGATCAGGGCTCAAGCTGGGAACCTGAATGGGTCACATTGTTGTCCCTTCTTCGGTGCCCGAGAAGGGCCCCTAAACCCTCAACCCTAAACGGCCGACTTCGCCGGAAAGGGGCCCCCCACAAGATTCCCAAGCACCCTGAGACTGTCGGGTTTAGTGTTTACGATTGGGGGTGTTTGGGGTCTAGTTTCAGGCCCCGCTCCAGAAGGGGGCAACCGCAAAGAGCGGCGGGCGGCCATGCGCGCCAAGACCGAATCAAAGGCAGAAGGGGGCGAAATGTGAGCTGCAACAACTTGCTACCTTGCATCCCCTATGTTTTCCCCTTGGAGGGATAACAAAGATCTCCTTTTTAAGAACGAGTACGACACAACACGAGTGATGCAACAACCAGTATGGTTTCGGGCTTTCGGTTTTGGGTTTGGAGGTTCGTCTCGCACTGCCTTGCACACCTTTCTCCTCAAGCAGGGGTCGGGGACGGATAAACGCACGAATGTGTCTTGTGGAGCACTGTAGGTGTTTCAGTGGTAGCTTGCAGTGCCTGTCCAGAACCAGAGCCTGCGAACAACATTGGAGTAAGAGTCCAGCAGGAGCTCATCGTCAAGGCTTTTGAGGCCTTTGTAGGTGTTGAGAGTGTCGGGTAGATGTTAGATAGAGACCCCTTGAAGGATGGCCGTGCCGACAAGTCCAAGTCCGCCTGGCGATCTGCTGAGGCCCGCAATCTGGGATCCTCACCCCAAACCCTAATCAGAAAGATACTCATGACGAATAGTAAGTGTGGTTACTCTTAGCATTACTGTTGTGACCACTACTGTTATTGTTGCTGTGGGTGCTGTTATTCCTGCTACTAGTGTTGCCATCGAGGATCATCACGTTCTTCTTCTTGTTGCAAAGGGAATCCATCCTCTGAAAAGTTGCTGGGGCCTCCGCCCCTGCCCCAAAGCCCTATGCCTTTTAACCACTTGACGAGAGAGGCGTCGTCACTGGCCGATCGCGTGAAGGCGAAACATGGAGGGTCTGAGGCGCGTTCGCTGGGAGTGCGGCCATGTGAATGTATGGGGCTTACAGGCTAAGAGGGAGCTAGGCAGGCTCTTGGGATGCTCGTGATTTTTCCCCTTTGTGGGATTTCGAATCATGTTCAGGAATAACTTCTCAGAGCGTAGGAAATGCCTCAGGTGTTGTCGGATGTATGCTTTGGATGCTTTTCCCCGCTGTAAAGAGCGAGTGCAAGTGCAAAGTCTCTCTCCTTTCTCATGCACATGGGAGGGAAGGCAGCAAAACTGAACGCCCGCAGGGCCAGAACCTCAACATCGAGTGGCCGGAGGAATGGAAGTGAAGATCTACTGCGAGGGTCGAAAAATGGCGTGCCTCTCACCCGCGGAGCGCACTTGACGGCTTAGGGGAGGTTCCCGTAAACGGACCTTAAACCCAAGCCTTGAGGCTTCGCCAGCAGGGCCTTGCAGAGCTCAATCTCTGCATGGAGCGCCAGCAAG